AATATAATGATTATGTCATTATTTGAGTATTTAGTATTGACATTTTTTTTCCTATTCAGCATATATGGGAAGCATTGCTTTTATAATAAAGCATTCTGGACATTGGACTGAAGATAATTGCTATGTTGATTACACAACTGAGGCAATTATGATTAAAGAGTATGCATCGTATAAAGATTTGATTGATGAAGTTGCTAATCAGATTGGCGTAGATTTGAGGTATAACAGATTGAAACTTAAGTATAAAATAGAAGGTAGCGTTGCACCTTTGGAGATACACAACGATATGGGAATGAGAGTATATGTCTCATTGAAGAAAGAAGTTCGAGAATTCGCAAAGTATCCCATTTGTGTAACTGTATTTGTGAATGATCGTGACATACATTGTAGATCTCATCATGACGAAGATATTGGCTTGTGTATGATAAACGAAAGATGTACAACTGATAACCAAGAAATAGTTATTAGTGCACCACTAATCAGTGATGAGTTATGTAATTCTATTATCTGCAATATGAATCATAAAGAAGCCATTGAGGATCAAGTTTATAAGAATAAACGTACATTAAAAGTTGTGATGATGAAATATGCCATTGATAATAGATTTCAGTGGAAGACAAAAATATCAAGTTTTGTAAGGTATTTTGTATTTAAATATATTTTAGCTTTTGTTGTTATATTAATTATTTTATATATTTTGTTTATTTTCTTTTGTAATTCGAGTAGTTATACACTTGTTTGTGTATCAGAAAATTGTGGATGGATAATGAAGGCTTCCAACATCAATAAATCGGGAATGTTTAGAATTAGAAAGTTTGTAGATGAACATACATGTTCATTAAAAGATAAGGTGTACAGTCAGAGACAAGCAACAAGCAGTCTTGTTGGAGGGATAATAACGCCCAAGCTAGTTGATCATAAAAGAAAGTTGACACCGAAAGACATACAAGTTGATGTTAGACTCGAACTTGGTGTAAACGTATCTTACTCTGTGGCATGGAATGCTAGGGAAAAGGCAATAAATACTTTAAGGGGGAAACCATCAGATTCATATAGTAAATTACCCAGTTATTTATACATATTGGACACCACTTATCCTGGATCGCATATAAGATTGAAGAAGACGGAAGAAAATGAATTTCTATATGTCTTTATAGCTTTGTTTCCTTTCATAAAAGGTTTTGAAAGTTGTAGGCCAATAGTTGTAGTAGATGGCAGCCATCTCAGAGGGACTTATAATGGCACATTTGTGTCTGCAAGCACATTGGATGGAGCAGGTAACTATTATATATTTATATTTTTTAAAGAAGTATGCACAATAAATATATTCTTTAAACATGTATTTGTTGTATTAGACGATATGTATACTAATGTTTGCACTTTATATGTTCAGGAAATATATTGCCCCTAGCATACGGTCTTATTGATTCGGAAAATGATGCATCTTGGACTTGGTTTTTTGAACAGTTTAGAGAAGCTCATGGTTTAAAGGATAAAATGTGTGTTGTATCCGACAGAAACGAGAGTATTATAAAAGCAGTTTCGAGGATATACAATATACCACATTATGCGTGCACGTTTCATCTTTGGAAGAATGTGAAGACACTTTACAAAAAGTCACATGACAGTCTTTCAGAAGTGTTTTATGCAATGGCAAAGGCATACAAACTCTCTGAATTTAATGAACTTATGAAAAAAGTAGAACATGTTGATATTAGGGTGAAGAATTATTTGGAATTGGCTGGTTATGACAAATGGGCAAGAGTATATGCACCAGTTGATCGAGGCACTGTGATGACATCAAACATAGCTGAATGCATAAATGCATGCCTTGTGGAAGCAAGAGAATTACCTATATATGATTTTCTTGAGGAAATTAGACAAATGTTTGGTCGATGGAATTTCAAAAACCATACATCTGCTTCTAATACATTCACGACACGTTGTGGTAAAGCACAAGAAATGCTCGCTGAAAATGAAGAACTTTCACTGTGTATGACGGTATGTTGTATTTTATATTTTGTATTTCAAGCCAATAAATTGTTGTATTTTGTATTTAATTCAATAAAAATTAAAGATTATATAACTGGTATGATTTAACTTCCTTTTAACTTTATGTAATAGGTAGTTGCGACAAGTAATTATGTGCACAGTGTTCGTCATGAAGGGGAAACATTTATTGTTTGTCTTGAAAAGAAAACTTGCACATGTAGGAGATTTCAAGTGGATGAAATACCATGTTCGCACGCCTGGGCTGTTTTGAAGAAGAAATTTCTTGATCCTGAACCGTATTGTTCAGACCTTTACAAGCCAAATACATTGCTTGTTACATATGCTAATCCAATAAATCCATTACCTGATCAAAAAGATTGGAATGTGCCTGCATATGTAGAGCATGAAATAGTTAAGCCTCCAAAGTTCAAAAAATTACCTGGTAGGCCTCCAAAAAAGCTTCGTGATAAAACATACAGTGAGCTATATGGAAAGAAGAACAAGAATTCTTGTAGTACTTGTGGTCAAAAGGGACATAATAGGCGATCATGCAGGAATGGACCACGAACTGAATAGTTAGATATATTTGAATTTGTTTTGAAAAATAAATGTACATGTGTTCGTATTTATCGTTTATTACTGTAAGAAATGTTTTCATGATTTTCAATGAATAATATTTTATCAGAATATGTTCGTTTGCGCGTATTTACTTGTATACAAACAAAAGTCGTTTGTTAGGTCACTCCATATAAGTGCCTATCACACTCTATATCAACAAACTGAGTTGTTCAATATGTATATGTATATGCAATAAGACTAAAAAATATGACTTGAGAAACTGTGTTTTAATGTTCATAAACAAATATATTTGACACTATATAATACAACTAATGTGACCACATTTAAAAATAAATTATATTTTAATACAAAACATACAACTACAAGTAATACAACAATTTTACTACTATGAATACAACATACAAAATATAGTAACCAGTTCTTCAATATGTATATGTATATGCAATAAAACTGAAAAAAATGACTTGAGAAACTGTTATTTAATGTTCATAAACAAATATATTTGACACTATATAATACAACTAATGGGAGCACATTTAAAAATAAATTATATTTTAATATAAACAATACAACTGCAGGTAAGTGACTTAATTAATGATATAATAGAACAGCGATGAATACAACATAAAAAATTGCAACACATGGAATAAACTAACATAATATATATATACTAAATTCAAAATGAAAAGTATGCAGAATAAACTGCTAAACATAAGATAATCAAAATGATAAGTATGCAGAATTATCTGCTACATAAAAGTTAATCAAAATGATAAATATGCAAATTATAAAGCAACATAAAAGTTTAATAAGCATAAATTAACTAGTTTTAAAACACAAAGAAGTATCTTCAACAAAAGCACAACTACTGTATTTCAATTGGATCAGACACAACACGAACAGATTGAGGCATTGCATGCCTAGGGGGTGCCTCATAATCACTAATGGCTCCGTTGTCTTGCTTTTGCTTAGCATAATTCCAAAGAAGTGTTGCATATCTTGCCCTTAAAAACATTATGTCAAATGCACCACTTGAATTTCCTTGACCATAAGACAGCCACTCGGCAAAGGCAAGCATATAAATACCACAATCCCTGAATAACACATGAGAATATAAAATTAAAATTTAAATACGAAATAAATTAAAACTGACCAACAGAATTAATAAAACTTACAAGCTGCCACCGGTCTGTTGAGGTATGTTGTCTATGAAAACAATCTCAAATAACTCATTCTCCTCTTGACTAACAGATCTATCTAAGCCTCTATTCTTGTAATAATCATACATAGTCAACTTTAGCGGAATGAGTTGAGCCAACTTGGTAACCTCGTTCCTGATTGCTGCATCATGACCTGCCGCTCTGTAAGAATCATAAACGTATACACGTCTATCATTAAGAGAGAGTACGGCCAAGACCCAATGAAATTTTTCCTTTACATTTACAGGGATAAGAACATGATCCACCAAATGCCACGAAATGCCGGCATGAACTTTGTACCCTCTAATGTAATCCCCTATAAAATGCTCTTCAGCAGCGCAACGTACATCACTATCTAAATCTTCATACTTCTTCCAAATTGATGAAATTTTGGACGTAAACACACAATCCACAGTTGTGTATTTATACCTGCTGTCCACATCATACTTTGCTTTCTTTCTCAAATAATAAAATATAACATTGATATGCTGAACAATAAAAAAAATCATTAGATAACAATAAAACAAAGAATAATAACTAAATAACTACAGTGATTACTTACCGAATCATTCAACAATTGTCCTTTTGAGTACAAATTGTAGAACCAATTTTTATTGTCTACAATATCAACACCAAAGTCAAAAGGGACAGGAATGCGTGCTTTACCCTTCTTGTATCGATCCTGATCATGACGTCTAAAGAAATACACAAAAATAAAAGGTATACAATATGTACACAGTAGTTATACGACGTCTAAAGAAAATACACAAAAAATAAAAAGGTACACAAATAATAAAAGGTATACATGGAAA